ACTGCCATAGTGTACAAACTCAATCCACAGACGAATACGATGGAGCCTGGTGACTGAGAATACTGCCCCATCGCTAGCCTTCAAGACTACGAGAGGTCTGACTGGGCATATTGCCAAATATCCGGCCAACTCAGGCCAGGAGCCTCTCTAAAATTCTGCCACTGTCGATCCTGCTCTAATCCGTGGTACACAGGAGAGGAGGCGTTAGTTGCAGAAGGTTTCGAAGTAGTATACACGAGTTACGAGCAAGGTCGACGGCGGAGACAATAGCTGATTCGACATGTGCCATGCCCGTACCCGTGACGAAAGAGTAACGTGAAGCCGGTGTTTCGGTTGGCAGATTGGGCTACAAAGTCCGTCCAAAGCATATTGATTCCAGCATCGCAGCGAGATGTAAATAACGTCATGGTCGTTCGGCCGTAAACGTATCTCTTGGCAAGACTCGTTAGGTCTTGCCTGGCCTCTCCTCTGGGGATATAGTATGTACTAAGCAGACTTTGAGAGTATCTGTCTCCGGCGTATTGCGGCAAAGCTGCAAAGTATGACAGATAGTGGCAGAGAAAATATACGAGGTTTGCGGGTCAAGATTACGAACTGTGTTTTCTTGGTCACGGGGGCTGGCGGCGAGGAGTATGGTGTAAGTAATATTTCCCGAATGGTGGAGATACTAGCGGACTGCCTGGTCTGGATGGCATAGAAGAACAAGTGTACGTGCTGTTATATAAGATGAAAGGCTTCATCTTCCCTGGTCGAGCTGAACGGAAAGCTAGTGCCACATCACGCAGGAAGTCACTCTCGTCCATTGAATACCAGTACAGTGGGAGGCCCTTGGCAAGCGTGGTCACATTAGATGACTGGGCAAGACCTATGATCTGGAGCTATGTAAATCTGCAGCTATATAACTGAATCAATGCTTCAGTGGTAACACTTTTTTGAAACAAATGGCTAAGCTGGCTTAGCTGGCTGCTCTGAATCTGGCTATCTCTGGAAGACAGCTTGGACATCATCTCCTCTTCATGCCCCTACCTGTCCCCTTGTTCACTATAACTTCACAGCATCCCTTGACCGTCGGCACGCATTCAGGTCCAATAAGCCCTCCCAAATGGCAAGTGACGCTTCAGTTCATCCTGCTGAAGCACTACAAGGCTCTGAGATGAGGTGACTTCCCTGCTGATACGTATCGCAGTAGACCGCATTGAAGCGTACATGCGAGTAAGCGTCGCATTCGATGTCTTTAGGTTCTTTCTCCAATCAGGCTAATCTGAATGTTTCTTTATATTTCCACTAGAGGTAATGTAGCAGCCAGGTCACAGTTGGGTTGACGACACGTCCGCGAAAGACCATGTCCTCGTGCTCTCACCTCATGCGCAGAGCTTTTTTTCTGATGTGTATCAAATGGTAATTCTGATGCATAGTACCTTAAGCCAAGCCAGCGAATCTATTGAGGTACTGGTCTCTGAGTATTACAAAGCACATCTTGACACTCTAGGCAAGGTTGCTAAGCCCATGAGTATGAGGCGAGGTGCTGCACCTACCGACAGCTTTAAACGTGTTTGGGTGTGTTCTCTGATTATTACTAGGAATAAAGATCGAACGGCTACAGCCAGTAAATAGAAGTCCGCAAATCGCAGTCGTCCAGCTGGACTGGACGTTGGCTTTCGCGAGCCCCAGGCGGTTGGATGGCGACTCATGACTCAAAGACAACCACCACAACACAATGGACATAAACGCCAACGGTATACGTTGCCGAAACTCTAACTCTCATCTGCTTAGACGTCATATTATAGGTTCAGATGATAATCGGGTTCCATGCGAACTTCGTCCACCATGATCCGCAACATCGTGAGTAGCTCGGTACAGCAAATTGCCCCGTAATCTATAAAAACCAGATCACAGAGACCTAAACTCTCACTCTGAGTAGAAGCAGAAATGTGTTGGAAGTGGGAATAGCTCAAGGGTGTCAATGGCGAAGGTTCAAGCTCTTCGACCTCAGAGACCATCACCCACACTCACTTGCCCACTCGAACCACACAACTCCGCATCTTAGGATTATACATAAGTACACGGACCCGAGACAGTGAATACTAACGGCGTTGAGTTCATGTGTGTACCCCGAAACCCGATGGAACATCAAGCCCCTAACCAGGGTCATCTCATAGGTAACAAATGGCCAACGCGTTACGCAGCTGTCAAACTGTTGGAAGCTAAGGCGCCAAACATCAACTTGAGGAGCTGAAAACCCCATCTTTCTCATGAATTTATATACTGCCGCTCAAAAGATACATCGGACTCTACACCACCAAGCCTATATCCTTACGATGTGAACGGAATCAGCCACACGGGAATTACCGCCCACCCCCGCGGCAGGACACCGGCTTTTTCAATAGGTATAAAACACCGAAACCAATTTCGGCATTGAAAATTTTCCGAGACAGATGTAGATGTCGACTCCCATGTGCCCCCGATCATCTCGAGGACGAGCTTCCTTCAAGACCGGGGCAGTGTGCCGGAACTTACTCGCATCTACAGGCCCTCTGATGTTCTTGTCCGCAACCTCAAGCTATCTCCGCAAGCTTTAGTCATCTCTATAGTCCATAGTATATTCTCACATATACCGAAACGTTACCAAAAGCCAGAGATGACGGGCTTTTCTTGTCATCACCTACCGCCTACTTACGCAGCGCTCGGAACTGCCATTGTCACCTGCGAGATAGATGTTCTCATTGTGGTGCTCGTGAATGAAGCCACCGAGGTATCCGCTCTCGAACGAGATGATTACAATTCGTGCGTGCACCTTTCTATTGCGCGAAACACCAGTCCTTCTCATTTATACCACGAGTGTCATGTCAGGTCCCTACATCGTCCAGCCGCCGTCTTGCCCCAACCAGACTTTCGCACTGCAAAGGGTATATATTACCCGTCCGTGTCTCTGACATACCATCTGCAAGAAATTTTTATCATCATAAAATTGTTGTCTTAGAAACAAGCCATCTAGCATCTACTTGCGGGCAAAGTAGGAAACGTCACAGCCCCGAGACGATTCCTCAACAACAGGAAACAGAACTCATACCCTCCGAAACCCACGACCGTCCTTCCTTCTTGCGTATACGGCTCCAGATACGCAAACTTCGCCTCCTCCTCAGAAACCAAATGCTCGAAAAGTCAAATCCGCACTATGTTGGAAGTATGCCTGTCAGAGCTGCACCCGCAACCCAAGGGGAGCGGCTACACCCCGCAACGAGAAACAATCTGTGAAGTGGCCAACCATTCGCCGTGGTTTCTTGCGTGGTAGACATCATATGCACCCATGTGCCCTTTATATAGCCTTCAGCACTACTACGTCCAATTCCATGACGCGAACAAAACCTCCCATCTAGAGACTCCCTCGGAGCAAAGACACTGGCTTGTTCAGCGGGTATATGACAGCACTTACTCTACCCCTTAATCATGTCAAGCCGCCACAATGTACTCACGATGAAGTCTCCGTTCGATTGGACTTACTTCGAAGCCACGATTAGCGGCATTCTCGTAGTTATGCCCCTCCTCCAACGTTCACCTCCCGACATCACGAGCCATAACCTCAAGTCCTCAAGCCCTCCCGCCCAGCTACCACGTTATAATCCACCTTGTATTCTTGGGTATACTCGGATACTACTGCAACCAGAGACGGCGGCCGTTTCCTGTCATTCGAGGACCTCGCAATCTAATGTTGAAGTTGTCCTCCGAGGGGGATCTCATGCTTTCGACGCAGGAACGGATCAAGTAAGAACAACAATGACTACATGGAGAGAAATCTGTCGCTTGTGGGATGTATCAGAGAAGCCTCGTGCCCTTACTTATACCATCAGCTTCTCGTCTCTCCATCAAACAACCACCTCTATCCCCTAGGAAAAGCAGTGTTTTGCAAACGGGTATATATTCGTCACCTGTACCCCAAAATACCATCTCAAACCACAAATCGCACCTCTTCTTGAGTTTTATTGCTTACCAGCAAGCCGTCTTATACCCTTGCCATCAACCCAGACCAGCATCCCCCTCGGCGACAGAATGATGCACCACTTCCTACCAAGACCCATCCTGATCCTTCACCTCACGTCGATTCCTCAAATACGCACACATCGCCGCCAGACCCCGACACTGCAAGCTCCTGTCCATGCGTGAATGGAAGCATGCCTTATGCATGCCTGCCGCGCATCGCCACAGCCCTGAGGGAGAATGTAGCCCGCAACAAGAATACAATGTTGATCTGTGAACCTCCACTAGCCTCCACGCAATGCACATTGATTGCTTGCTGGGCTAACATCTACGCTCTCGTCCCCTTTTATATATACTTCCGCATCACGGCAGCCGCCCACCCTGACTTCTAACATCCCCTCCGCCCAGCAGACCTTGAACAAGTAAACCCTCCAAAAACCTGGAGAAGCGCGACACAACAGACAAGTGACCCAGGATCCTCTCTGCTGGGGTGCTCGCTCAGGTCCAAGAAAGTAATCTATCTCATCCCGTGGGCTGGACCAAACAAACAAGAGCCATAGACTGATCTCAGTCGCCGCCATCACCCGTCACCAGCATCTTCAGAGTATCATGTAACATGCAAACAGATGTATTCCTATGCCTATCCATACAAGCCCGCCATGTATATAAATATGCGTCTAAAATGGTGTGTGTGTTCTCATCTCATCAAACGCCTCGGCGCCGACACGTCTGTATATCTTTCTCCAACATTGCAGAACTTTTCTCTCTCAAACCACCTCTCCGAACTGAATCACCTCCTATCAACAAGTACCTGCGTCCCCTGTATGCTGTTTGTGAAACGAAAATGAAAAGGAAACAAGATGAGATAAGAAAATGCCCAACCCGTCATTATTCATAAGTATACAATGCAAATAGGTATTAACCTCCCCCACTGGCTACCGCTCAATGTGCTGTTGTGCCATGTCGAAATCCAACAAATGCAAGAAAAAAGGGGGGAGTGTGGAACAGAATAAAGAAAAAGGCCGTCAGAAGCACTTCCAGTTGACACCCTCCTCCAGCTTCTTCAACACGCCGACTGCGTCAACGTACAAGCGGCTTCGTCCGCCGATGCAGTCCATGTCAAGCCAGCGCCTGACCAGGCCCACAGTGGCGATGGCATCCTTCTTGGAGCGCAGCTTGAGAACGTCCCTGGCGCGCATGCTGGCCACGGTGCGAATCCACCTAAGCGCGGCGCTCTCGTCCCCCTCGCCCGCGTTCTCGCGCGGGGTGGTGCGGTGTCCGTAGGCCCAGCAGACGAGGGCGCAGACGTACATGCCCCAGTAGTCCGAGATGTCGTCCTTCCACATTCTCGGGCGGCCCATCTCCCAGATATCCATCTCATCGTCCTCATCGAGGTCATGCTCCGAGTTGCCATGCTCCGTGAAGGCCCGGAGAGCACGGCAGGCAAAGACGACGGCAACAGCGGCGTCGCCTGAGTCGCACCACTTTGCGAGGCGCTTCTGGTGGTCCGCAAAGGACTTTGGCTGGAGGACCTTTTGGCTAAAGATCCAGCTGTCGCCCGAGACTGCGAGGAGGTCGTGGAGTGGGGTGTGGGCGAGGGCAAGATAGGTGTTTGCGACGGGGCAGTCTGGGAAGATGTTTGCCATACGGTAGGTCTCTGGTTCCGCAATTTCGGTCTCTGAGTGGGAGAGCTTGGTGGCGTCGTCGCGAGCGGGGAGGAACAGGGTCTCGAAGGCGAGGATAACGGCGCGGTCGAAGGGGAGGTGTGAGTTGATGCTCGTGGCGGAGAGGGTGTCTGGATTGATGAGGGAAAGGAGGGATTGGTCGTCGCTGGAGTCCGTCTTTGCGGCAACGGCTGCAGCCCAGGCCTCGGCGCTGGGGGCTTCCCATAGGTCGTTGGAAGGGCCGATGAGAGGGATGTAAGGAACGCCGTCGGCGGCAATGTCGTAGTCGCGGACACGTTGTTGTTCCAGGTAGACGGAGCAGTGGGTATCCAGAACGAAGCAGGCGGCCAGGAGGCGGCGGCGGGTTTCGGTGTCGAGCCAGGTGTGCCATCTGACTGTGTTCGGCCCGGACATGGGGACTGTGGCGAAGATGACAGAGTTGTCGGAGACCTGGAGATGGCTTAGAATGCTGTTGTTTTGAGAGACACGAGAACCAAAGAAAGAAACCAAATGAGAATTCAAGGCGAAAGCTAGAAGAAAGTAGATCAAAGAACGGAACAATAGAGAAGAGGACTTACCCTAGAGTAGATGGACTCGAATTCTTTGGATGGCCGGATGGCCGCTCGTCTCCCGCGGAAACGAGCGAAGAACTCACATAGCAAAATCGATTGCATGACAGGCACATCCCATTGAAGGAACTGGATATGGTTAGTGGAATGTTTGGTGAAAAAGACTTAGTGACCTACGCGTCTGCATTGTTGCCAGGCGTATTCATGCAATTGATTCCCCCTGATGCGGTCCTCCTTAGTACTCATGTACTGAGTAGCGACTGCAGCCATGGCGCAACGGAGCACATCAATCTGCTCCGCTGCGGCCTCAAAGGTCCTTCTGTGTACGACTGGGAAGATGTGATGCACTTTCTCCCAGTAGACCTCGAGGTAGTTGGGGACGGCTTTGCAGACATTCGCAGGAGGCAGAGGCACAGAGCCTTGCATCAGGGCTGGGGCCGCCAGGAGGCCCAACGCCACCTCTTTCTGACGGCCCAGGCAAGCGAGGGAGTTCATCATCCGGTCTGATGGTAGTGCCGTCGACGGGGTGACTAGAGTTTCAGAAGATTGAGCCGATGCCGACGTCACCGGCGGGGTCGGGCTACGAACAGTATTGGTAAACCGGGGTTGTTGGTGAGGATCGAGGAGCGTCTGCTCGTCAGAGTATCCAGAAATCGAGACGTCGACCGAAGGGTAGACTTGAGGCGTGCTGATATGGGGCGAAGTCGGGAACTGGTAGAACATGGGATTCGTAATGTCGAGGCTGGCATCCCTGTAAGGTGGCAGAAGGTTGCTTGACCACTCGGTATTGGCCCTTGCCGTCGGCCAGAGCGCACGGGGGCGAGAGTTGTCGGAAGGCGTTGAGTACGTGCTATCGGAAGCCGACGATGGCCATCCGGCGTTGTCCTGTGCGTGGGAGAGGTCGGGCAGTCCGTCAGGGCCACCAGGCATCTGAATACCAAGTCCATGGGTCTGCAGATACAGGGAAGGAAATTCAGGCGTCGTTCGAGGTTGGCTGTAGTCGACAGCGCCAAACGATGGAGTGGTATCGTAGCCGTGATTAGGTGAGTGTTGAAGAATGGCTGGTTGGGATTGACCGGACAAGGTGTATCCTCCACCGTAACTAGGACCTCCGGACGAAGGGCGATATTCGTTGCCCATGTGAGGAGACATTGACTTGCTCACGTCAGGCGCGTTCATCGGTTGGTAGCCGCCGGGATTCGACATGCTCGGCGTCATCGGGAGACTTTGGGTCGGGGTTGACGCGTTCGGTGGGTACCCGAGGACGGGATGCTGGAGCCCCATGCCACGAACGCCGCTTTCCAGAGAGCCGGCAGAGGTCCGTCGGCTCTGACTTGCGCCTCCGCTTCTTGACGCCTTGTCGCCCTCCAGTTCACTGGGAAAGTCAGTAAGAAAGTTTCAATGCCTCGCCTGGACAACATACTGTCGTTGCTGATGGCGCTCAAGAAGATCCTTGCGGTGAAACGCCCTGTCGCAACCTGGCACAGAGCACGCGTACTGGGGAGTTTCGTGACTAAGTTGGTGTCGCCTAGATGTTTGTCAGTTGATGAGGTGACCAACGCACCGCGGCATGTCTTACCTCAAGTGTTCGGCACGCGTAAAGGTCTGGTCAAAGTCAGAATGCGCCAAAAGTTGATCGAGGACGTAGCTTACCTTGGGAGGGCGGCAGATATCACAAGTGTGAACCTTCATACCCTTTTTCGCGCGACTAACCCGCCCAGTGATCGGTGTCAACTTTACTGGCATATCCGAGCCGGGAGGCGTGTTGCTGAAGGGTCTAGAGGGCGCGCCGGAAGTATCGTGGCCTCCAGACGGCCCACCATAGCCGTATCCATAATGCGAAGGGTCCATGTTTTCAGGGCTAACGTTGCTTCGTCGACGAGATGTTGATGGTCGGCCGGACGAAGACGACGAACCGGTAGAGGACTTTGTGATGCGTGTTGGGGGACTTCGTTTCTTCGTTACTGAACTGTCTGCTTGGTCTCCGCCTGTCGCATAACCCGAGTTGTATGTTGGGCTGGGTGCTAGATATGGTTGGTGATATATGCTTGATGAGGTTGGGAGCTGGTCCTTCTTATTGGTGTGGGAGTCGAGTTGGTCCTCATCGACATTCATGATATCCTGGAGGCTGGCCATGGTTTATGATTCCCGCCGTTGGGAGGTGTTGTCGGCAGAGCTGTTGTGTGGCCAGAGTGGGAAACGCAGAGCAAGCAACAGAGCCAAACTTAGTAATACACAGCCCAGCTGAGTGCTCTCCTGGGAATAGAGCGTGAGGTGCAGCAGAGAATGGAGATGGAAGCAACCCCCAACATCCAGACGCAGTGTGAATTGGGGGGGGGGGGGGGGGGGGCAAGGCAATCAGGGTCCAAGAAGAAGGGGGGCGTCGTTGTAGAAAGGAAGGCTAACACTAAGGTAACTGGGGGGAAATAGGCAGTAAGGTACGGTAAGGCAAGATTTTGGGGGGGCGGTTCTTGGTTGTCAGCCTGACCAACAGGCGGGGTGTCAGGGTAAGGGTGAGAGGTCAGTCGAGGTGCAGAACCGGTCTGCAGTGCAAGTGTGCAGGTTGCAGACAAGAGTTGGAACTGTGAGCAGTTGGTTCTAAGCGATCCCCATATGCAATGGAACTGAACGAAGAAAAGAGACAAAGATAGTGATCGTGCTGTTGGTGCCAGACATTGCTATATTGAGAAGAGAGCAGATGCAGGTGCGCGTGAGCAGAAGTAGAGGCGGGAGGGTGACAGCTCTTCAAGGAGGCTGTTCTCTTGAGGCCTCTAGTCCCCTGTCAGCGGTAGACATGGGTGATGAAGGGCACTGGACATGGAGGCAGGTCGAAAAATGCAAGGTACTCCTTCGAAAGGGTATCGGCCGAGCTGGGGTTCGGTCGCCCACCACTGCATATGGCGTCGGGTTGATTGGTAGAGCTGCCAGATGCCTGTCATACGACTCAGCCCTCCAAGGCTGCGGGCTGGCACTGTAGACGGGGGTCCCACGGGTCCCACGCAGCGTCTCCCCGAGTTTAGGTGTAAATTTGCCGCGATGCTACGGAATGAGCGCGTCTGGGATCGTCTCGTCTGTCTCGTCTGTTAATGGTGTATAGGGCTGGGGCGGAAAAGCCGCGGCACGATGAGGATGCTCTGCAGCAGCCGCGGAATGAAACCATGGTGATGGTGCCTCTTTCGAGCTGTTTGGCCGTGTCTCTCCTCCTGTCTCGGGAGATCAAGACAAGATCGTGAATCGATCGCATGTCGGCGAAACCCCAGACAGACGCCTCATTTCCCGTTCATGTTGATCTTTTGAAGATTTGATAAGGTATGTGCTGTCATGTCAGAGACAGCAATACCATACATACAGGCCCTGCCGGCGGTGGAAATGCTGGGTACTGCAAAGTAATGCAGTAGGGGCAGAAAAAACAGCGAAAAAGGCCGCCATTCTGTCAAAAGGGAGAGCGCTGTCCCTCGAACAGGAATAGTGACATGCGGTTATGGCGTCACCGTGTTGATACGAGAGGGAATAGCGGCGCCAAATGGAGCGCGGTCATTCCGTTTCCCACAGTAGCGGCCGCTAGCGTCCGTGGTGGGAAGACGTGGCTGTGAGTGCGTCTTTTCTGGGGGAATTGCTTGTAGAGAGACACACTGAGCGACGTGCTGCAAGAGAGAGAGGGAGAAAAAAATGTCAGACGAAGTGAGGCGCAGCCTCAACCGTAAAGTAAACCGTTGTCATTGCAGTGCATGCATGAGTCGCAGTCCCTGTCAACAACCCCTGCAAACTTGGCTTGCCCTTTTTGGATTTTGACTTTACAGGGCACAGGGAAATGTAACCGATCCCGGTGGAAAACTTGCTAGACAGAGGCACAGAGCAGGCAGCGGCTGACTGACGACTTGACGACCAGCGTTTTGCTGTTGTTGCAGCCTTTCCGTTAAACAAGAGTGAGTGACTTTCAAGACTTATCTGTCTGTGACGGTGTTAGAGTGAGTACCTATGCGCGCTGGTGGGGGAGGGGGACGGCTGACTGCGTGATGTCGCTTTTGCTCACAACCACAGCAGCGCCGCATGTCTTGTGACTCTCGGTCCGTCCATAATAAGCAACACAACCTGCGGCTTGTGTACCAATCAGCCCTCCCCTCCTTGCTGAGGCGATGTATGTAATTCTGGCACCTATGTCTCTTCCGTCTCCCGGGCGGAGGGACACACTCACCCAACCGTCTGGTGTTCCGTTACGGCGGCGCAAAGGGAGAGACACGATGATGTCAGGACCGAGGACCGAGGAATCCTGAATCCGTGGATTGAAGGAGAGTCGGCAGAGCCACCCGGCTCAGGGGTTCGGACCTCGGAGGCAGATTCCCTGCCAGCCATGCTTTGACTCAGATTCATATTGCTAATCCGATAATCTCCTTATTGATTGTCGATTTCCGGCTTCCGGAGACCATGGGCATCGACAGGCTCAGTGACGGGTGCCAAAAATGCAGATGCTGTAGTAGCAACGCAACCGAGCCGTTGGTTGATAATGTCAATCAAGACGGGAGCATCAAGAAACGCCATGCAGCGCCCGGCCCGCTGAGAGACATCCATGGGCGAGGGACAGGGCGATGACAGGGATAGCCCACCCCGACGCAGCGGGGACAGCAGGGGCTCAGGCGCAGCTCCAAGCAAAGGCCCCATTGGCGCGCAGGTGAACGAACCACTCGGAAATGGAAACCTATTTTTGTAAGTGAGTTGCAAACTCGTGATGCTCGATATATCTCGAGATCAATCTGCTTGAAACGGTCGCAAAGCGTGTATCGGAATATTTTCAGCTCGTTGCAAGTTGGTGTGGCAGATGATTTGCTGTAGAGTGCATAGCTATCTCGAGGGAGATGAAGTCGTTGGTTGTCGAGACACGCTAAAAGACGACACTTGCCTTAGTCTGGGCATGACATGGCATGGGCGTAAGTCGGTAGGAAAAGGGTTTTTGGTAAGGTATCCGTACTGCGTAGGTACGAAGACGAGTGCTTTTTTGGCGAGAGCCGACCACGAAAAGGTGGGGTTTCCGAATGGGGCACACACCGACGGCCTGGACCGACTGCAGGGACGGATGGGTCCGGGTAGGTCGCATTTCAATCAAGGGAGGAACGGGAGCGGGAAACGGAGAAAGCGAGATGCGACCAAGGGGGAGAAATTCTTCAGTGTTTCATCTTCTGTGCGTGATGATGGCGGGTGAAAGCCGTCTGCCGTCGCAACTTGGGGTCCGAATCGGCTGCATGGCATTTTGGAGGCCGGGGCATATCGGCTCGCAGTGGAACGGGGGGACGGCCACGGCCCTTGCTCTGAGACCCACGACCAGCCGAGTATTCGTAGATCTCAGTCCAGGACCACCAGGACCACCAGCACAGGACCTCCGGGAGGGAGGACAAGATAATCAGGGGCCGTTGAGACCTGAACGGGCCTTTGGGTCGAATTGGGTTTGGGGGCCGGACCGGCCGAGAGTGCTGCATGCGCGATATCTGGTGTTGAAACGGCCTGTTGGTTGATTTGCAGTGATGGGGGCTGTTTCAAGTTTCGGGACCTGCAGATCACTGTGAAATGTTGGCAAATGTCCAAGGTATGCAGCTGGATTGTACTGTACACTGTCGCAACTTGTTGTTGTTGGAACCTAACTAGGTAATAATGGTTAGTAGGGATACCTCTCTCAACCAAGAACGACGCTGGAGTGGTGGTGTGAAAAATTCTATTCGTACCTTGCCAACAACAGGCCAGGCCTCTAGGTTGGGACCGAGGTGGGATATCGTCCCCCAAGGGCGGGGAAGTAGCGGGACGGGGGAAGGATTTGCACCGATGATCTCGGCAATGATTCAAGTCCCAGGCACCGTGGGCTCGATTGCCCGTATGTGCGGTGACCAGGTGGAGGAGGATCCGTCGCTGCCGGAGGGATTGTGATCCGATCCTATTCGTTGGGTGGATTCCGGGTGAGCAGTGCACCTTGAAGTTTTCCAGGTTGCTTCGTTAATTCGTTAGGTTGACTCGTCTAGCAGGAGGAACAGAACCTGGAAAGGGCCGGCCTCGGCCATCTGGCCTTCTAAGGTAGGAAGGCAGGACCCGGCACCAAGCCCCTCGCTACCTATCAGCAGTGCCTTCCCGTCCGTTTCCAACAACGTCGCTTCCTGTTGGTGATGTGATGACCTGAGGTACCAACCCTACCTACCTTACCTCGAAGTCAGGAAGGAGGACCAACCAGTAGGGTAGGTAGGTAGGTACCTCAGCATGAGGAAGGAAGGAGGTGAGGTGTATCGATCACGCGCACGGGAAGGATCATCCGACCCGGACCTGGTGGTGCATTTTCTGTTTCTGGCCTCATCTTGCTGAAGATTAACGGCGGTAAGAAGGACGAATGCGAACTGAAGAAAGGAAATGCCTTGCCGCGGGCGCATATTCCTTCGATGGTACCTTGCAGTGGCACTCGCATCACATCGCATCACATCGCGATATCACCGGCCGTTTCCAGGCAATGCACCAGCTCCAACAACACGGCTGTGCGGTGCATGCTGTGCCGCTTCAAAGCTGGATTTCCGTTACCACCTCCTGCTCGACTCATGGTTCGATAATTGTGAGGTAAAGCTTTTCAGCTGAGCTGTCCGTTGTTCGCTCTCCGCAGCTCCGTGGACGCCGTGGGATCCCTGCAATAACTCATTTTGGTATTTGCAATAACGAGAGCGAAAAGGAAAGAAGACCAAAAAAACGAGGCGGTTAGCCGTCACCTGTCATCCATCAACCTCCACCAGCGAAGACAAGACCGGTCAACGCGGCTAACGGCTGAAAGCCAAGATACAGAACGGAGTTTGTTCTCGAATCCAACCTCGGTCAACCGCAACCCCCGTGAACTCTAAAGGTGCTGATATCTTGGCCCTTCACCGTGAGGGCGAGTTGCTCCTGCCAGTGTCCGCTCTGCACCGCATCGTCGCTGCCTCGCCGCCTCGCCGAGTGAGGAAGTTGCTCGGGCCCCACCCTTCCGGAAGAGCCTGCCACTCCCCGACCGTTGTCTTTTTGTCATTGGCAGGGGCTGCCTAACCTTCAACGGAAGGGACCAGGGTCGGCGCTTAACCCTAAGGTATTTTTAGTACCATCTGAGCTCTTTCCCCCGGCTTGATCCCGCCGTCCCAGGTCGCCTGCCACACATCGGTGCACTGTTCACTCACTGTACACGCACACAGTACAGCCGTCGGTCCCCGTCCAGTGGTGGACAGCTGCCCAGCCCAGGCCGTAGCTAAGTAGGTAAGTGAACGGTGCGGCGACCCCATTTGTAGAAGGCCCGTTTGAACTAGAGGCCCGGCATGAACATGGAAACAAACGCCTGACGTCGCTCCATGCACATCAGCCTAGTGCCATCGCATTTTCCATCGCGACCCTCACCGACACTACCTTCAGCTTGCTTGCAAAACAATAAACCGGATTCTCCATCATCGAGGAAAAATTTTCGCATCTCAATATCCATCCACAGAGCACAGAGCACCACCACCACAACCACCATCGCAACCTCCTTGATCCCTCTTACCTGTCCTCACGCAACACGGAATTTCCCCGCCAACCTCGCTAAAATAGGGAAAAAGGGGCACGACATTGCGAATGAGATGCCTGTGATTCAACCCAACGAACCCCAGACCGCGACCCGCATCATCAGATCGCCCAAAAGTACCGTTGCTCGTCATTTCGTGGTACGAAGGTTCCTTCGGCGATCCCAACACGCAACCACACACACACACACACATCACCTACGAAGCACTCGATTACGGTGTACCGCCCACTCTGCAGCCCTGCGGCGGTACCTCCACAGGTCTCGAGGCCACGGATCCAATTTGGTACCGCACCATCCATGGTTGACCGACTGCAGCTCTTTGCTGCAGCCTGATCCAACCAGTTGGTCCTGCCGCTGCTGCCATCTGAAGTCTGGCAGTCCTTCCCGAGTGCGAACCATGCGGAGAACCTTCTCCTCAGCCAGTCCCAGCCCCCGACTCAGTCGCACAACGTCGTTGCTGAGCACCACCCATCCATGTCGTCGCCAACGACCGACACCGTGGACATAGCCCGATCCACGGTGCATTGCATCTTCCCTTTCCATCCCATCCCACTGCCACGGCTGCTGCATGTCCGTAGGGCAGAGGCGCACCACCATCGACTGTTGCTGCGCACTTCTTCACCGTCGCACTGCGCTTTCCCATCTATCTCTCTACGGCCGAGGCTGCGGCCGAACAGCGCGGCAGTATGCAACGGCTCTTCTCTCGGGTCATTGTCAGCAACCACCAGCAGCCACTGACAGATCGCACAGTACCGGTCAAGGCTGGGACATGCCGTGAGCCGACTGCTCCAACCCGACGCCTCTCTGCAAGTCATCAAATGCTTCACGTAATCAGCAAAGAGTCGTCTGCCATCTGCGTTGTGCTTGTACCGCGAGAACCGCTCAGCTAATCCGTTTGTCGATCGTCCAAGATGCGAGTCACAAGCCGAGTCCAAGACATTACTCAGCCGCGATGTGTTGTAGATCAAGGCAGCAGCTTGAGAGTAGTTGCCTGCGCGAAGCTCCAACGACGGCGGGTGCGTCTGCCTGTTTCGCGGCGCAGAGTCGAGAGTCTTCGAGGCCCCTCAGACGAGTCGCGATGACGCTGTCACGGCTCATCGATGTGGTAAGTCTTCGCAATCAACCCGTCCTTTTGCGTCCACAGGTCGACCTTCTTTCACTGCAAGTTTGATCCAACGAAGCGGCCCGAAACGTCTGTTCCCTCGCGTTCCTGCTTGGGACTAAGGCACGCTGAGCATGCTCAGCACATGGCCGGGAACCAACCATCACCGTCTTTCCACCAATGACGCCTGCTGCTGCGGATCCTTGCCTTACTCAGCCGTCGGACGACTCTGGTATCGTCTTCTCCCACAAACCACCAAAATATTCGATGGCTCGCACTTTGCAAGATGCACTCCACTTGAATCTTGGGGGCGGTGCCTCGGTCTACAGATTCACTCAAGCCAAGGCGCTTCTTTGCGTGGGGTAGCACGCGATGCGGCTTGCTGCTCGCGGCTCTGGATATCCGCACTCCCTCCCGGCTAAATGATCAAAGCTCAGCCTTCCCGTCGCCCACATCTCATCATTGCCGCATACTCAGCCCCCCATACCCACCATGGGCGGCTAAGTCGCAGGACTAAGACATGCTCTGCCTATTCCGAACATGTCAACCATCAAGCGATGGCGGGAACTGCACATCCGGTCAAGTTAAGCTTGAATCACGCTCAACGGCCAGCGGCGTCTGGCGCCAAAATTAGCGCACCCGACTCTCATCGTGAATAGACGCAGCGTGTCTATGGTAGCAGCACGGTCTCCATCATGTCTCTTCCTCCTCGTCCGCCGAGACGTATGCACCATATCTCGTGTTTGGTCTCAGCTGAGTCTGTACCTGCAGAACCCATGGTGCGGTTCCTTTCCCGAGCTTCAGCGGCTGGTGTTCGCTGCCTTGACCAGTTCTCCGCCCAGTTCGTCAATCTCAGCTGTCCAGCGGCGGCTAGCAGATCGGATCATGGGGCCGCGAAAGACCTTCCCGAAAGCGGCAATGCAAAATGTCTGTGATGGGATGTGCCTGGCAGAGCAGGACTGACATGACCTTCTTCGACGCCGCAAGCTTGAAACAGACCCCAACGGGGAGCTGAACAAAGACATCAATGTTGAATCTCGTGTTCGAAAATAAAGAATCCTCGCGGAGATGGCTACTCACGCAGTGGACGCCCGCTTCGTTGCGGCTGGGAAGGTGATTTCGCCGGTAAGTCACAGCGAAGGGTCTAGAACCACACATTCTACGGCAAATCACCGTATGATTTCGATGAATCGGTACTTCGACATGGGGAAGAGAACTTTTGGAAGGTGCGGTGGAGTGGGAGTGATTTGCGCCCGTTTGACAAGTACGCCCTAACCAACACATCACACAGCCCATCGTTCGCCAGTGTCGTCAGTATAGGCGCATACCCGTGGCCGCAGGTACCCTACCATCAGACCAGTTGACAAGGCACACTGTTCAGGGGGTTTGGGACCTTGTCAAGGGGCGTGGTGAACAAAGACCAAAGCCAACGTTGGTTTGTCTGTCAAACCCAGGCACCAACATGGAATAATCAGCCACCCGGCGCGGCGCGATAATCCGGGGCCTGGACACAGCATGCCGCAATCGAGACCCCCGGCCTGGATCTGATTCATGCATCTCGGCAGGCTTTTCGATGTGCCTCGCCTTTCTACCCCCTAGGCCGGTTGACGGCATCGTTCGGACTCCGTCCGGGTTTTGACAAGGCTCGGTGGCAAGCTTCAAATCACCAGTCCGTCATGGTTGCCCGCGACGGGATCATGATCTGCGAGCCCAGAGACGCAAGCCTTGATATCTGCCTCGTGACGAGGCTGTACAGCCTCCAAGGTCAACAGACCACATGCAGGCGGTACTGCTTCAGTTTCTCTGGCCGAGGTTCCATCGCAAGTTGCCCGGCCAGGCGCCCAGCTTGTTACTCCCGATAGAGCATCACATTTCATGACCTGTGATTAAGTGGCGAGGTCACCAGGCTTCTTTCAAGCATCTCCCAGCTCCAACGATCTCAGGCCGTGGTTCGATATCTCCACTCATGGGAAGATGGAGAGCTCGTCGCGAGCTGAACTGTGGCCGTCCCTACTCATTAGCCATGAAGCTGTCAACGCACAAAGTTGAAACAACCAACATTTGGGGGTCCCATCGTTGGTGATAGGGACGGGGCCCCGATCACACCTCAAACCAACATACCATTCCCAACACTGCGTCCAGACCGCACGCAATCACGCGCACACCCCTCATCTCTGCCACGTCAGTGACCCAGCAGAAGACACCAACATTCACATCCCCCTCATCATCGTCGTCGTTGCCATCATAGTCGGCCGACAGCGCAGTGTGATAACCCCTCTCCAGGCGCCCCGCGCTTAAAAGCTGAAAAGTCGAAATACCCCGTGCTTTGGGGGCCGCAGCCGCGGCCGCGCCAGGAAGGGTGGTGGGTTACGCGCGCCAAAGAAGGAGGAGCAAAAGTCTAAACGGTCGTCACGCCGCACCAACAGCTGTCTCTCTCTGCACCACCTCGGGTCACCGTGACGGGCCTCGCCCGCACGCGGGGAGGAGTAATTGAGTGCGTATCTGTACGCGCAGCAGTTCCTGCACCAACTCCAAATTTCTACAGAGATGCCAGGTTCATCCCGGTTGGCGAGGTCGGAGCTCGAGGTAGGTAGGGGAGGAGAGCTCCGGGCCTCGCCTTTTTTATTTCGTCCCATCTGTGAGGTGCAATTGTGCAAACTGGCGAGTACGAGCCGGAAGCCGAGTCCGAAATGATTTGACACTGGTTTCGAAGCCCATATGCCGTTTCTCCGTTTGCAAATTCCAAAGCCAATCCAACGGCGCCCGCCTGCTCACCACTGAGCTGACAAGCTCGACTTTCGTTCGCGATGAAGGGAGATATAGGTCATGTGATTTCAGTAGAAACGATTCTATTGCAGTACAGAAAAACAAGCAACGTGAACCAACTCGTCAATGTAAAGCGAGCAAAGGTCCCCGAAGACGGACAGTTACACTACGCAAAAAAAACGCCTTCATAAGAAGCAGGAAACCAAGGGAGACAGGTTAATGGATACAAGAGCGTTTACGACCGGAACCGCCCAATACGTGTTTCGTGGGAAATCTCCCTGCTCTTCTTTTGTTGTTCTGTTTGGAAAACCCCGGCGTCACCTTCTTTTTTCGTGTTTTTTTCCAAGGTTCCCTTCCTGCTGCCACCCTTTCCCGAGTAAGGAGACCCATCATCATCATGCCATGAAGTAATTAGTAGAAGAAAGGAGGAGAGAGAGTGGGGTAGATGTCATGACGGTTCGAAGGGGGAGAGCGGAACAGATCAGAAGAGGATTATTGATTATGAGGCGCCCGCGGTGGCGGCGGTGGGCTGCTGGGGGACGACGCGGCCGCGGGGGCTCTTGCCGTCGGACTCGGACTCGTCGTCGCTGTTGCGGCGGGAGGGGCTGTCTTGCTCTCTCCTGGACTTTGTCATCTGCGATCCTGGTTAGCATACTTTGTCCGTGTCACATCGCTCCCGAACATAGAAGCTTACCCATGAGCGGACACCGCCGACGAGACCCAGCGCGTATCCCGTGATAAAGTCGTTCGACGTGGGCGCGGGGGTGCCGCCCGGGGTGGTGGGCGGGATGTCGACGCTGAGCTTGGAGCGGTTCCCGGCGGCGGCGGCGTTGAGGTCGCCGTTCTGGATGTACGAGGTGCGGGCGGCGGGGGCGGGGGACTGGGGCCGGGAGGCGGGCCAGTACTGGCGCAGCTCGCGGGAGAGCTCCTGGCCGGTGGTGGACCAGTTTGTGCGGATGTTATCGCGCAGCTCCTGGACGTGGCGCTTGAGGTCGAGCTCGTTCTTCTTGAGCCAGCTGACGTTGAGTTCCTGGCGGGGGGTGCCGCGCTTGAACTGGCGGGCAATGTACTTTTCGTAGTCGCGGACGATCCTGGTGAGCGGGTGAAGTCAGTTTCTGTGCTTCTTTGGTTCGATGGGGGCTTGGAACACGAAGCTTGCAATGTGCCCGTTTCGGGAGGGAAAGGGACCTACTTGGTGATGATGCCAGTCGTGCTGACGCCCTCGGTTCTCTGCGTGACCAGGAACTTGCCGGCCTCCTTGATGGGCCTGTAGATGTCGTCGCCCTCGTCGGCGCCGTAGGGGATGTCGTCGTGGGCGACGTAGTCGATCTTGTGGGCCTCGAGGAAGTCCGGGGTGACGATCCAAGGGCAGTCCTCGATGACCTCGTCGACCCATTTGCAGTGACGGATGGTCTCGGCGCGCTCGCGGCCCGAGAGAACAGTCAGACCCTTGCGCTTGTGTGTGTCGACGTCGCCGGCTACACCGACGATGAGGTAGGTGTCCGGGAAGGCCTTTTTCGCTTGTTCGAGCTGGCGCATGTGGCTGTTTGTGCGGTCGCATTGTTAGCATGTGACTTTCTCTCGGCAGGGATAGAGGCTGGGAAACACGAACCCGAGATGGAAGAGATCGAACACTCCGTCGGCGTATACTCTCACGGGACGTCCGGCGGGGGGGTCGTTCGTCCTGTAGCCCACGGGGTGGGTGAGCTTGCCGATGGGGGGAGGGGGCATGGAGTCCTCGGGGGTCTCCTTGATCGAGACGGTCTTCTTCTTGCGGCCGACGCGCTCAGCGATGTCGACGCTCGCCTCGGTGGTGTCGCTGGGCTCGCCGGGGTCGAGGGTGTGGTCTTGCGCCGCGGGGGCAGAGGAGCCATTGTTGTTCTCGTGGACGGAGCGCTCCGAGTTGGCGCGTTGTCGCTTAGACGGGTGGCCGGCGGAGGCGGAGGCGGTGGAGTCGGACTTGCGGTGGGAGGAGGTCGAGGTCAGGCGGCCGGTTTCCGGGGCGGTGCTGTCGCCCTCTTCGCCGGAGGCATCGCGGGAGGAAGCTTGGAGGTCTGGTTGGGGCATGGAGGCTGTCGTTGAGGGGCGCTTGCGTTTGCCTGCTGCTGAGGAGCTCGAGGGTGATGACATCTTGGGCGGTATTGGTGGTGGTGGGGGGGACCGAAAGGGTTTTGAGGGTTGCTCGAGATGTTGGACGGGATGGAGTTGGAAGTTGGAAGCGGTCTGCCGGCCGTGGATGAGGTAGGTGGTGGTGAGGGCGTGGAGTCGGCCGTTTGGTTAGGTAAGGTAGCGGGCCGCAGCTAAGGGGGGGCGGACTGTGTTGCTCGATTGATCGGCAGTAGTATGTCGTATATAGGAAGGGTTTTCGTATGGCGTATCCCGCGTGGGAGGATTGCTTGCGGGCGTGGGTGGTGGTCGCTGGACTGCTGTGCCTTGGTTTTAGTTAGGAGGGGTGATGGCTGATGACGATGGACTTTTTTTGACGAGAGGGTGCAATTGGAGAGCGAAAGCACAGGGAAGGGGGAGGAGGGTAGGGGAAAAAAGAGCTTAGGTAGGTCTGGGCCTGGGTTTCGGAGAAAGCAGTGCAATTGGACGGAAGAGGGTAGAATACTAACGACGGCTTCTGAGAGGTTTACACTTTTTGCGCGCCGCGTTATTGGAACGGGTAGGTCCAGCCAGAGCCGTGAATGGTTGGTTGGCTCAGTCCAGTCCAGTCGGAATAAAGTGTGCTCGGCTGATTGCGAGTTTTGGCCGGACGGATGTGACAGCAAAGACAAGGTAAAGCAAAACAGAGCAGTAGAGCAGCAGAGCACAGCTACCTAAGCAGCAAGATTGCGCATATGATACGGATAATGGACTATCTTGTGTTAGACCTGCAGCTAGTGGGGGAGCGTCTACTCCGGTCGGCGGGATGCGGACCACGGGGGAGTTCGTGGGGAGTTTAAAGTTGGGTTAAAGGCGAGTTGACAGCTGACGGTCGTTAATCGCGGTTGTGAAGCTGCAATTGCTGTCACCCGAGTGCCAATGGAGAAGGAATAGTGTGTTGTTTGACTGTCTGTCAACTGGGTTCGCAAGTCGCGTGTCACGAGTGGGAAAATGCCACGATGTCCATCGAGATTTTGTCCATACACGTTCACAAATTGCATTGCGTGCAGGAGCGACATGCCTGTCCCCTGCTCCTCTTTCTTTTTCTTTCTCTCACTGCAACTCTCGGAAACTGCACTGGTGGCCTCTCGGTTACAACTTGCCTGCTGTGTTCTCTGTATTCGTATCCGACGGACAACAGAAGCACTGCGAGGAGGAAGCGGACAGCTTGCACAAACAGCGGAACTCGTCAAGCTCGCGCCTTGCACATGCGTAATAATTGCCTCCAGCGTTTGTGCAAGACAGTGGCGTCATTCGACTGTGGCTTGGGCAGAGAGCACCCCGTCGGATGCACTGCGCAATTACGTCGGTTGGGGGCCCGCCGTCGGTGGCTTTGCTCTCTCTGCCTTAGCTCGGCCAATAGCGTGGTCAGCTTTGGCTGAGCTGTCGCCGGTGCACAGAACCGAAAAGAAATAAAGCTAAAATACCGAAAAAAGTACTTACAAGGTGTGCGGGTCGTTTCTGCCCGGCAGGGATGGTTCGAGATTTCACAGTTCTGTTGGGGAGGAAGTGGATTCCTGCTTCTCCAAACGGTACGTACCCGCAAAGCTGGCCCTTGGC